AAACATTTCCAACGGTTAAGGAAGGAAACTTTTTCATAGAATTGAAATTATTTCAACTGTAAGCCCACTACGAGCTGTGCTTTTCTGGTATAATTGCATATTAATTAACAAACAGATATTTCTTTACCATGCTTTGTACGTAAAATTTCATTGTTTTTCTCTTTCTACAATATAATTTTGTTAGTTTAAAAATAAAAATTTTCGCTGATGCTCGTTAAAATTAAAAAATCTTCTCATTGACTAAAAAGATATAATACGTCAAACGTCTATTTCTAACGATCCTCATTTCAGTTTAAGTCTCTTAATAATCGGTCTCAATTGCACCACGATTATTGACCAAGACTAGTTTCCTTTCCATTGGTCCCTGTAATGTATTCAAAGAGGATGGTAAACTGTTCGTTATCCTTGATGAAATATTTCTTTCGTTTGCACACCACTTCCTTCGAAGTTCACAGAAACGTCCTGTACTTTTGACACGAGTTAACTTAAGCCAGAACGAGCCAAGATGGAATTAATTAAATCAAAGATTCGCTGAATTTCTTCCATAACGGTAAGACCCCTCGAAGATCGGGTCAAGATTCCAATCTTTTAATTGTCGCTGGTGGTAACTGAAGCAGTCTGTCATTTTTATGATAAAAGAAATATTCTTCAGTGTTTTCAGAACACTTTGTCTTTCTGTATAATTAGTCTGTATTAATTATCGGCGCTCCTTACGTTCCTAATTGGAGGAATATTAATTATAGATAGTGGAATGGATGAGTAGAGCTAATAATTTGGATAATATAAGTATTCGATGCATTTGGTTATGAATTCTTTATTTGGGTAATTAGGTATTTAACGCGTTTTAATTTGGATAATTGGAATATTTGCAGCATTCTAATTCGAATAATTCGAATACTACATTTTTATTTGGGTAAATGGAGTATTCGGCGCATTTTAATTAGGATAATTAGAGTTCGGTTAATTCGGATACAAATTTCTTATTTGGGAAAATGAAATATTCAACACGTTTAAATCGGGATAATTAAGGTACTCGAAGCGTCTAAATTCGGGTAATTAGCGTATTTAAGCGTCTAATTTCCACTTCGAATTCCTTATTCGAATAATTATTCATTGAAATTTAAATAATTTCGAATACGAATTCCTTCTAATAAGGAAACTAAGAAAAGGCAACAAGGTTTTCATCTGTTTGGTCAGTGACGAGGCGCAACAAATCTGAGGAAATTTCGTTATTACGAGCTAAACGACACGTTTCACCCCCTTCGAAATCGTTAGTGTATGATCTATATTAGCCAGGTAAGGGGATGAGAGGCGGAACGAGGCGCGACAAGAAGCGTGTGTAGAAAAGCAACACGCTAGTAATCTTCCATTTTATGGACCAAGACAGCACGTTGGCGAAGCCGTTGCCAAAGCTATTTCCAGGCAGCGCTGACTTTGCTTCGTCGACTCTCGGGTTTCTCCTCAGCTGTTCATCGGGATCCACGTTGCACCCTGTTCACTTTGTATCTCTCTCTCTTTCCCTCTCTCTCTCTCTTTCTCTAATACCATGAGACGTGGCCAAACGTCCGTTCTTATGGTTTCGTCGAATTAGTTTCAAGCGGCGTCGCGCAATTGTCAGAGATAGAGTCGCAGAACGACTCTTTAGGACGGCAATTGCCGTCTGCTGACGATAGCTGTACGTGAATACTAATTGCTGTCGCACTTATGATCCTCGATTACACTCTGATCCTTGATTATTGCGGTCATTCACGCGACTGCACTCGCGCGATATCGTTTTCTTTCGCGATCGCTCTGTTTCTTCTTTTCCCTTCTTAATAGCTTCTTAAAGAGTTTCACTTATCAGATTATCTTATTCTTAATAAAATTATTTAAGAAACTGTACCGTAATAGTAATTCATCTGCAACGAAGTGCAGACGACTTTCAACTCTTATGATATTCATTGCTTGATTCAGTGAAGAATTAGTCATTTTCTATGAAATGTATTCATAAAACGCTTATGTAGTCTCTTTCTACAAAGTTTAAGCTTTAATTTGACACATCATAAGTGTTATTTTGCAATACTTTTCTGTCATGAAATGAACTTTCTATGAAACAGTGCAATGTATTAGAAATCACTGCTTTGATGTTCATGATTTACTGTATGTATTTTATGACTAACCATTTTGTACTAAGAGTGCTAATGCAAAGTGCTTCTATGTAGTCTTTTTCTTCAAAGTTTAAGCTTTAATTTGATATACCATAGGTGTTATTTTGTGATACTTTTAAGTTATCAAATCATGACAGATTTTTCATACTTCTAAATTCACAACCACTTGAAAATGAACTCCTTCTTTCAATGTTTCACCTAAAGTTTTTCTTTAAATAATAACCAGCCCATATATAGGAAAAATGAAAGCTTAAATCATTCTAAAAGAGAAACAGTTTGCCTTGTATCCTGAAAGACGTGTACGATCAGTAAACGTCAAATATCGTTTTATCTGAAAGGAAAATCCGACCCGTACGAAGCTTTCTTGTATTAATCAGCCTTGATAGATGGACAAGAAAAAGAATGAAAAGAAAACGGATGATACGTTGATCCGGCTATAATTTTAAGCATATGCATCGTGTATTGGATTACATCCAGAAGCGAGTTTATAGTTGCACTCGCGTATTCGCCCGATTCGAAATAGAATGATTCATAGACAAAGACCTTGTTCTAATTCAAAACGAAATACGGAAAAGCTGCGGACCGTATCGGTTCGCTTCGAGGATTTTACGAGACTCGCGGGCTTATTTTTGAACTGTTGAAACAGCAAAAAAAAAATGTTGATAGAAGAAATAATAGAATTGGCGAGAAATCTTCCACACGACATATCAAGATTTTCTTTAATACATTACAGACGTATTAATGGGATTATTTACCTTAGTTCCGAGAAAAATGTTCTTCGATCTATTTAACATCACCGTTAAATTTGCAATTATACTATGTTCATTACACGATTTAATGTTTTCAAATTATTCTACATTAGGTTGCATTTGTCAAGAAAATGCAGCTCGACCCGCTTGGGAATACGTCGTCGACCTGGATATTTTTCTATTGAACAAAAAATAATTGTGTTAAGCTTTTCTAAGAAATCTCATTTGCAAAGACGTCTATTCATCCCACGTTGCACGGTGCAAAAACACCGGAATTTTGCTTAAGTATCACGATTTTGGAGCTGTACATACATTAGAGCGCTCGTACAATGGTCGCTCTAGACTTCCGTTGTTCGCTCACGGAGCGAACAGTTGTGCAGACTTTTTTTCCTCCACACCGGTAATTAACTCAAAAACGCTAACACCGTGGAACACGGGAGCGTAACGGCACCGTAGACCCGCCTCTCTTTATGCTCTTTCTCTTTTACCTGTTCGTTTCACCCCTTTTTGTTTGGCATTTTCCCTTTACACGCGTCTCTTGGAAGGTTTACACATTTAATTCCAGGTCAGAAGCCAATGTTATGTTTATACCACTCGAAATAATTCAATAGTTTGTTGCTTGATAATTGGACAATTAAACATTTCCAAAATTAAACTGCCCTTGTATAGACAATATAGGATTATTTAATTATCCACTTTTATATTTCTTTTTACAATTTTTTATATCCATGTGGAAATATTGCAAAAATAAATATTTATTTCACATTTTCAAAATAAAATTGAATAAATTTAAAATAATAGAGATACAGTAAATAAAATATAAAAATATCATTCGATCTTTGATTTATATTTTTTGCTACCGGAAAGGTGTTGCAATTTACAATAATATACATGAAAGCAAAATTAATGAACAAAATTATTTTTTAAAAAGGGAAAATGAAAAATAGAAGACTACCTATCAATTAAAAATAATTTTCTTAGTGAAATTATATATCGTTCATTTGTATCATAGAAGTGTAATAGTTTGATAGAAATCTTGTGTGATCGGTTTTAGAGGATATGTTTTTCAGAAACGTCTTGGAGTAGACGGCTTTAATCAACAATCGTTGTTTAATTAGTGGCTGCCGGTAGATTAATCGCGGCTGATAACAGATCTGCTGTTAATCGCGTGTAATGGGTATCCGATAGGTCGAAAGTTTGGCGTATCAATCTATCTTAACCACATGTTCGATAAACGACTCGGTTGGACTAATGAGTCATCTCCATCTCAATCGTTGGTCCACGACTGTTTTCGTTATTACTACTTTTTATCGCCTCTAAAAAACAAACCTTACATAAAAACATCAACTACATAAACGCCAGAGTATCAATTTGGCTTTATTAATTAAGAATGTAATTATGATAACAAAATATTTTTCATTTTACTGAGATTCTGAAAAGTCAAAATAATATAAAAAAGATCAGATCAGATTTCTTTAAAATGTTTCAAAAATTTCATTTAAAACCATTATGCAATTTTATTAGCTTCTTCTGTTGAATTGTAAAACAAACTCTGCTATGTTTTATCTACAGATAAGTTATCTAAATATTTTTGAAATTATTTAGTGTCTAGTGTCTACACTTAATATTTTCCAAATACCATCAATATAAAATACACCATAAATTTTGTCGAATAGTTAACGTGATTCTCTTGTTAAAATGGTGTCAGAAAGTTCCATTTACAATTCTTGAACACCGTAGAAATTCGTTAACCTTGCTAACGGGCAACAGGCGGTTTCGTAGCTTCGTTAACTCGTACGGTTGAATAGACGTGAAATAATTAAATACATTGTAAAAGAGAGTATATACCATCGCATTCGTGGTGAAAGAAAAGAAAGAGCAGGCTAGGTTGCCACTGTTTCCTTACGAAAAGGTATATTCTCCCTGGACGACACCTCCGAAGGATATTTATATAACCCAATTTCCGTCGCTTTCCACGATGGTGAATAGCAACGAGGATCGCGCGACTGTTCTTTCGTATGCCGTTGCACGGAAATATTTGCCCGGGCAAACACGACCAGATAGTTTCACCATTAACCAGGGCGAACAAATTTTTTTTTTTCAGAGCAAGTTTACGGTCCGTTGCAGTGGAAATCTTAAACTGCTGCTCGGCTGTCGGTTTGACTGAGCTGGATTTTAGAGCTGGAGGATATACATGGTGAAAGTTCTGGTGAGTGATTAGTCAACAATTTATATTTTTATTCTTTCGTTTATTCGATTATAATAGAGCTGTGCGATGATCATAATAAGTGATCTGGTTCTTAGAAAATATTTTCAGTCAGAGTTAAACATTTCTTTGATGCAAGAAATGAAATCTTCTATTTGTAATTTTGCTAGTTTCTTATTTTTCAAAAATATAATCAACTGTATATCAATTATTTAGAATTAAAATTATCAGCTTTTAAATGAAATGACTTAGAAAATAAATAATGAAATTTAACACTGGAAAATAATATTTCAAGGAATAGTGTAAAATTTAACATGAAGTATAAAATTAAATTTAAATTTTCTTTGAACCGTGCACATATTAAATTTGCCTTGAAATGTGCAATAAGATAAGAATGTGCAGTTTACATTGCACTTTTCTATTATCTTTTTCAATCCGTCAAATGGTTGTTAAATTTCAAGTTACTTTATCTTTGCTCGTATTACTTGAAGGCCAAAGTACATGCACCTGGCTGCTTTACAATTTTTAACATGTCGATTCATGCTCACAAGAAAGCTTCTTGTTTACGAGTAAATTTTACGCGTGCATCTCTGTTATTCCACCCGTTGCACCAGGAAATGTAGCCGCTTGCGGTTGAAACGCGTACCACGGGAACGTTGATACACTTTTGCAGTGTTCCTTTGGAACATCCATCTGTTGTGCACCATGTCTTTCGCTAAACTTCAAAATGCATCGACTGCGTCGAGAATCTTGCGATGCATTTCCTGAAGGTTCATTTTAATTGGCAATGAATGATTTATGAAACGTTAAATTTCTAGATATAGTAGATTGCATTATTATTCGATTTCGATGATATTAAAATTATTATTATTTTCCACTTAACATTTTGACGCAAAGAATTTTAGAAATATAGAACTGATATTTTGGAAATTTAGAATTTCTTAAATTTTTAATTCTGAAATTTTAGAATTTTAGAAAACATATGTATTTGTGATACAGAGACGCTGGTTATTATTTGAAAAAATTGGCAACGATTTATAAGTAGACATAGCATTAAGAGCGAATAATATTGAACGCGACACGGTCCTCTTTTCATCACGTGATATTCGATCCTATGAATATTCATGATCATATCAGCTATGATAAAATTCGTGCAGAATACGAAAATGAAAAATTACCAGTCGTATAAATATAATTAAGCGTTATTGTTAATTATTTAAAGAAATGACAGGACTATTTTAGAGTTATCGACTTCTTTCTCATTTAAATACCGAGCTCTTCTGTTTTCAAAATCAAATAATCGAATGCAATATTTTTAAAGATTAAAATCGATCCCAGTCGCTCGAGTAACGAGCTCCTTTATTAATTTAATCAATTCCTACTCGTGATCGATTACAATCACTAAAGACAATTGAAATTAGAACCACCTTTCAAAATATTATAGTATCCACCTCTTATCTTAATCGCTTCGATAAATATTAAAATAGATCAACGAAATCGAACATTCCTAACTCTGGATTTCTTTAATAAAGAAACAGAAAAGCTGTGGATATTAATTTCATTAAAAGCTGAATTAAACTAATATTAGTAATACTAATTAAAAATGATATTAATATTAATTTACTGTAAATTGAGGGCTGTAGATATTCATTGTTATTATATTAGGCAAAAATAATGGGCACCCATAAATTTCTCGTATTCGAGTTTCAAAACGGCGAATCGAACATCCGACAAAGAAACGGGAAACACCATAAACGGCGTTGAAAAATCTAGTACCGTTTCCCGCATGAATCGAGTTATCGTTAGTCTGTGGTAATGGCTATTCGTCAGCTAGGGGGAATTGCTTCTCGAAATGGAGTGGTGGTTGGTTATAACGGACTATATCGGTTAGGCGCTATTTGAAAGTCAAATACTCGCATGGGAAGATGGTACGAGGGTGAGGGGTGAAGAAAGGGTGCGCGAAGGAAGGTTTCACGAAAGGGTGAAAAGGAGGAAGAACCCGTCGCGAGATCTCAAGACACATCGTGATATCTACTGCTCCTAGAACCGCAGACTTCATCCGATTAACGACTGCTTCTGTAATGCGAGCATCCTACCAAATTGCCTATGGTGGTTGACTTAATTAAATTCGAATCGACCCTACCATAGGACGCCTTTCTTGTGGTTTCAAAGGTATCCATCGCTTTTAAATGCATGTCTGTAAAATTTCATAGAATCCCGTCTATTCTCAGATCAGACTGCTATGAGACATTACGAATTCATTTGACGGCCATATTTGTTCGCACAGAACTTCCCCAATTTTCTTAAATAATCTACAATGTATCCTCTTTTTAACAGTCAAAAATTTATCTCAATTCATCGACTAGTTTCTTCGAAATAATTTTTTTAAACAGTTCCTTTTCGCATTTTAGTGCTAAAGTTATGCACTTTCATTCTGAACGATAAACTTTCTGTCGTCGCGATTATCCTAGAAACTCGGATTACAATTCGTTGGAGGAAAAAAAACGTGGAACTAATTCCTGGATTCGATTCGCGTTCTAATAGGAGCGGTGGAACAGTCGAAAACAGGCGGCGAAGGAGAGAAGTGTCGTGTAATGGATTCGAAGGGGTTGGGCACTTTGTTTCCAGGTGGACGGCTAATGACGAAGGGTGCTCAGGTGGAAACTCAACCTGTTCTCGACTGTTTTCACTCGAGGGGTGAACGTGATTCGATTTAACGTATTCCGATTGAAAGTTTTTTTCCTAACGGTCAGGTTAGCTTCTCGAGCATCCGGTGACAACTCGGCCCGAGTAATTTCCGTTTGATTAAGGAACCTTGGGTGGTGGTTGGGGAGAGAGAGTGGAAAAAAAGGCCGATCGTGTTGGTACGCTTGGAATCCAATATTCGTGGTAGACGTGGTACGTGTGGCGAAAAAATTCATGAGAACACTACCCTTTTCCACCCTTCTTCTCTGTCTAATTAAATGAAATTCGAACTTAATCTTGACGACCAGCTTCTCGATGACTAACGGCTTGGAAAAGATTTGTTCGAAAGGGATCTGTTAGTTATTCGAGATGATGCACGACTTCCGATGCCGGGGAGAGAGAGGTCCAAGGGTGGATTGAAAAATGGCTCGCTAATCGAGATTTTAGGAGAAACCTGGTTGCAGCCGATTGGGTTTTAACCGGTTTCATTTTTCATTTGATTCGGCCAATTGAGAATTGTTGCTGGGGTAGTTTTAGAATTATAGAGACACTTTTGTTAATTTTTTAACATTTATTTATTACAATTAACGGTGGATCAAGTAACTTGATGATTAATTAAAGAAATATAATTATGACTTCAAATTTGTGTGATACTGCACTTGTGAATCTTCCAAAAGCATATTATTCAAAATTTCTATTATAATTTCTCTTTTTGGAATGTTTCAATTTCAGGATGATGAAAAAGTCGCATAATTTTCTTGATCATACCAGCAATGATGCTCGCGTATAAGAGCTCGTCAACGATGAATAATGATAATCACTAGTTATCGGCGGATTTCATAGATAAATTGGCTCTGATGGACAGCTGTTGCCTGGTAATTGTATTTCGCTACAGCTTGCAGCCATTCCAGCGGTGAGAATTTCTCGCATCCATGCATACACATACGTGTAATATGCTAGAAATTTTCAAGCTACTGGTATCGAGAAAATATTTTCCAATGACTATAGTTATTCTACACAATGGTTGCACATTTTAAAATACTAGAAAAGATTTTCTTGCGAATGCCATCGTTTTTGAGAAATTTTTTCCTGCTGATCTTATTAATATTAATTCAACACGTCGCTTGTTTTTGATCCTTATTCGCAGTACAAGGGTTAGCCATCCGTTAAAATGACATTATAGTTCATCGAGTAGCCCGTATTAAAATAACATGAACACATGTACCAGGGAAGAAAGGGGGTTGGTAATTTAACGATTTTCATGGGGGAAACGTTCTTAATTATGCAACGGTACACCGGAGTCGCGTGTTTTTATGTCCGTGGCAACGCGTGCTCGCAAAAATTCTCCGTAATTAAAAGTGCACAAACAGATCCCCGCCAGCAGGAGATTTCTAACGAGATTATTATGGTGGATTCTGCTTGCACACGGGGCTGGCTGCATGGAATTGTTCGGCTCGAGTTGCTCGCGAAACGAAGAAGTTTTTTTCTTTAGAGCTTTTTGGAGCGCGATAGAATTGCAGTTGCTGTTGGCTCATTGTCTTCAGGAAAGAATCAACCCTCCCTTGTTTTCTCTTTTCTCCTTTTACACGATGAGTTCTGTAAATTTTGACTGGGATACAAACGTGAGGTATTAAGAACAATCGTAAGGGTTGAATTTTATAAAAGGGCTCTTGAATATACTTGAAATAAAAAAAAAAATTGTGTTATTTAGGTAAAGTACCCATGGGCCATATTGACAAAACAATATTTATTTAAAATCTAAAGCAATCTAAGGCAAACCTAACCACCCTTGAGAATTCTAGGGTTAATTTTGCAAATTGACTGTGAAATATTTTTCCAAAATAAAATTTACCTAGTCTAATACAAATCTAACCCCTTTTGGTGTTCTAAAATTAATTTCTCAAATTACCCATGCAACATTTTACCAAAATAACACTCATACCAAATTTCAATGTTTTCCCTCTACTGGTGTGTCAATTTCGCGAGTTTGAATTCCACCCTATCACAGACATTATTTGATCATTTGTCTTGGTGCTGAGATAGAAAGGGGATGAAAGGAACAGATCGTGGCATGATGGCGAAGATATTGAGTTAACGCCGTGGTAAAACCATCCTTCCTGATGCACCAATCCTTCCTCGAAAGAGGGGCGTAGAAGGAAGGAAGATCGTTGTTGGAAGGGTGAAAAGGAGAGGGATGAAAGGAGAAGCAATGTGGTATTAATTACATTTAAGCTCGTCTCTGAGGTCGTGGTTCATTCAAAATTCTCCTCTCCATTTGCATATTTCTTTATGCAGACTTAAAACTGTCCTCTTATATG